TTTTTATTTGTGCATGGCTGTCCTTTTCCCGTCTTCTTGTTTTAAATCACTTAGCTTTATTATCTTAATGCGGCGTATCAATTAAGATTATTTTTCTTTCCTGGTTTAGGAACACCAATTGGGGTTGTGAACAACTGCGATAAGTATTATATCGCTTAAAGTGTTGTCAGGGGTAGATAATTATTTTTTACTGGGCTTTTGTGTAGCTTTTCAGATTCTCCAATAAGCCGATTGTTACATATCTTACATATGATGAGATAAATTATATTATATCTTTTGCACGTGTTGTTTGGACCATGTATGTTCAGTTTTACTCTTGTCACTCTGCTAGACAATGTCCTGGTCTGTGTCATATATTGACAAATTTTGCACCTTTTATCATCACAGAAGCCATACTTGCTAGGATGGTCAAGGTTAGTTACTGGTGTTGGCTTCGAGCTGACTAGGATGTACCTAAGAATTTTCTGGACTCCTGTCGGTTACTACGGTTTATTTGGGAAGATTAACCTTAGTGTGTCACCGACTCCATGATGGGTCATTGTTCCTGATAATTGCATCTACTTTGGTGCTTTCAGGATGTTAGGTCAGGATAAATGGTATCCGCTCAGCCTTTTCCTTATCTCCATATATTAATAGGGCATTTAGGCATGTTTATTTAGACACTTGGATTGTCTCCATAATCAGGTCGTATCTTAGGCAAATTAAATGTTTATAAAACTCTTGAGACATTTTCTTCAATGTTTCATCGTCGGAGCAAATTATGTGAATCCTTAGTGCCTGGCTATATAGCATGTTCCTCATGTAGTGTTTTCCATGACAGCTAGTTGAGAGTAGATACTGGTGTTCGTCGGTTGGTTTCGAGTAGGTGTCTATATGGCGTTTGTTTTCGACAAGTCTGGTTGTTATGTCCAGTAAAACGTGGTAGGAGCTAGAGACATCCACTGTGATATTTTTTGAAGGATGGCAGTTGATTGCCTTTAATATGAAATCATCCAGATGTTCTCTTCCGTATTGTCATTTCATTTCTATATCATCTATGAAGCATTCCCACTGGTATGGCGTATGTTCCACCAATATTAAAAATTGACCCTCCAGTGTTCACATAATCATATTAACATAATAAGGTGTAACTTTTATAACCATTCTGGTCACGTTGATTAGGAGGTATATTTATTCATTTAATTCGAAGTTATTGAGCTCTACTACAGGTTCCAGGAGCTGGACTAGGATATAAATTGATGGATTATCTACAGTTCTTGTTTGCATGCTTCTCAACAAGACAGTATGTAGTCACACAGTTAAGCATATTTTATCATAGCCGAGATAACTCCAAAATTTACAGCTTGTTTTAATTCACTGTGCAGACTATCCAGACTTTATAATTGTTTTGATAATCTTAAGTTTTTATATGTACATTTCATCATCATCATTAAAACTTCTACCTGGAACTAAATTTAATCCGAAATTGTTCTTAATTAAGAGAAGAGAATATCAGTTGATATCATGTTACTTTCAGGTCAGTAATTTAGACACTAATGACAATATAGCAAGAAAAATACTTTTGAAATAGACTTTTAAATATTCCAGAGCATATGGTGGGATGAGAGAGAAAAACATTCTTTAAGTAAATTACGTCACACCTGAATTGGAATTTAGACATGACTTTGGTCCATATATCACTTAGACCTAAATTTAAATTATGTTGGGTTTTTTTTCGTGGCTTCGATGTGGGAGAAAATTACATTAAACAATATTGGAAAGGACTTCACAACCTTTTAAATATAGACATATATTAGTGGCAACAGCCTCTAGAAAGACTTTTAATATGTCAAAACCTTTTGCGAAGACGTGTAGCCATCATTTTTTGACCCATTCTTTTTTGGGGAGGGTTTCAAAGCACGATATATAATTATTCTACTGCAAATAACTCATATAACGGATATGATCTTTTTCTTTTCTTTTCTACAAATTAGAAAATAAATATTTTGCTATTGAGGGTATCTGGAGGGTGAATTTATCAAAAACATCTCATCCATGAACAGAAATAATGAAATGGTCGGTATCTTATTGATCTCATCCATGAACAGAAATAATCAAATGGTCGGTATCTTATTGATCTTAGCCCCTAAATTTACGAACTCAAGCGGATATGTGTTAAAGTGTTCTGCCTATGTGAGTGTCCGCGCGTGGTTTTGTGTTTATGTGTGTGTGTGTTGTTTATACAATCTTTACATAAATCAGTACTTTTCATTCCCCAGCCGATGGATATTATGATTAATTGATCTTATTCCTCTGACCTATGTAACATTTCAAGTTGACACATGCTGATCCATAGAGGTAGAAACTTCTGGTATTATCCAGCATACCGCATTCATTAGCAGCACTGTCGTCAAAATCCCCAACATTCTGGAAAAAGAGTCCACCCAAAGTTGAGATCGGCTTGCTATTCAGACCTGACCAAACATCGCTAGCCGCCTCTGTGGCTCCTACCCAGAAATCACAGGGACCGGTACTTACAAGGAATTATGGCTCAGCATTACTCTACGTGAACCATCGTCAAATAGTCTTTGAAGTTTACAACATGAATGCAAATAACAAATGTTTCGTGATGTATTATGTTAAGGCGAATGAGTAGACATGAATAATGGCTCATGGATAAGTCAGATTAAATGTTACTATACAAGGCTTAAATACCTTATTGAAAACGACATGATGCCTTATATTGTAAACTTGGCCTCCATATTGTACATATATTTAGTCTTCTTACAGCAAACACAACATCCATTTAGACTACTTACAGCACGCAGCAAGCATACTTAGTCTTCTTAGAGCATACACAGTTAGCATACTTAGGGCACACACAGTTAATATATTTACAACACACATAACACCTAATTTGGCTACTTATAGCACACACAACGCATAATAAGTAAATTTACACAAAACATATTTAGTCTACTTACAGCAAGCATATACAGTCTACGTACAGCACACAGCACACATATGTAGTCTACTTACAGTACACACAACACAGTAGAGTACGAATTTAATTTCTCTAACCTGTATGATAGTATTGTTTGTATTAAACTTTTATTTCTGCCCACTATTATCAAGATTCTACTACAGAATCCAGGGATAGCACAGTCTGTTCTGTTTGGTATATATTTATAATTCTTTATATATATATATATATATATATATATATATATATATATATATATATATATATATATATATATATATATATATATATATATATATATATAATGAAACATGTTTTCCTTAGCTGCAACAATGGTTACAGTCTACAGTTAATATTATTTTTTCACATTGCTAAGCAAACACTTTTTATTATTGTACGGCACCAAGTTCTATAATTTAGCACATGGTTATTGTGATTCTAACGTCATTACAGACGTATCTTTCCTTTTATATGTGTCACACGTAAAATAGTACATAATGACGTCACACTTTGTGACATAACTTATGCAAATTCGTGATGACCGTTGTATCCGAATATATTTCTAAGTCGTTTTAATGCAATCAACTGAGGTTCAGTAAACTAAAATGAATAATTGTTGTCATGCGATCAACAACAATCATTATTAATTATCAAACTTGTTGAATAATTTCAATATTTTGGTCCTCGATGCAACATACAGAAATTATTTGATTTTGTAGATAGATTTTATTTTTAAATCAGCACACATATAACATCCCCCTATAACAGACAAGTGTGAGGCGCATTTATTTTGAAATGCCATTTTGCAATCGTCTCATAGACAGAAACAAAACAAGAAAACATAACAAAGAGAGATTTGAAATATCTGTGAACGAATGAAAAGCAATAACGTACGAATTTGAAAACATAGCAAAGGGTAAATTGAGTTAGGGAACTCACGAGGTTTCCTGGAGATCACAGCTATGAAAACAAGAAGGATGAGAAGACCTGAAATAAAACGGAAGACAATGATACGTTTGTTAATAATCGTATAATTTTAAAAGAACTATAGCCAGTTGAATAAATTGCGTTAAGGTAGGACAAGGTCTTCTACATTGATCAAGGTGGACTGACAGTTAAACAATGAACGTGGTATTTAGTCATGATTTGGAATTATGACTAAATATCACGTTTCACAGTCTGCAAGATTGAAATTAGAGCACCTATCCAATAAGTGACTTGAAGGGTTATCTTATGTCATAGTTGCAGCAATGTTTTAACATGCAGTCTAATCACTACGTTATATATACTTCCATATATATATATATATATATATATATATATATATATATATATATATATATATATATATATATATATATATATATATATATATATATATATATATATATATATAGATATATATATATATATATATATATATATATATATATATATATATATATATATAACTGACAGTAAAATTCAAGGGATATTATATTCCCTGACATACCAAGTGAAACGTTAAAGAACTTATTTCAGTTACTAAAATATTTATCACAAGTCGTAAAGAGTTTTCCGTATGAACTCGAATTAGTGTTCCGAATCAGTTCAAATAGATTTTGAATGTGTTGATTTATTAATAATCTGGAATGTGCTAATGTTCCAAACATCTTGATGTATCACAATTATATAATCCAAAATATCATTGCATGAATTCACAATCATTCCAAAATAGTGATAAAGTCTCAAATCAATTAGTGCTTTTTAACTTTGAATAATTAAAATATATAAATAAATTCTTTCCTCATTTCAGGACAAAACTAAAATAGCGATTCCTTTAGAAACATATTACAATTAGGAATGAGATACTTTGAAGAAAACAACCTCAATATATAAACAAAATAAAGACACAATAACAAACCAATGATGATTGTTATTTTCCTATCAAATTCGTAAACAAGTCGGTTCCCGCACATTCTTAATTTCTGAAACAAATCTTGACCATGAACACAACATCTATTAACAACCTATTTATAACTTACAAACAATATCTCCAGTGGCCTAGTTGTTAGAGCGTCCGCCTCAGAAGCGGGAGGTCGCGGGTTCGGATCCCGGTCGAGTCACACTAAAAACTTCAAAAAGTGGCACTAACAGCTGCCACGCTTGGCGTTCAGCAATATGAGGTTAGTGTAGGAAATGGCCTACTTGGTGTCAGGATAATGTGATTGGGTGGGACATCATGCTGCACGTCTGCACCTTGATGCCCCAGTGCTAGATATCACTATAAACTGTCACACTAAAGACATCTTAATGATATGACTGAAAAATTGTTAAAGCTGCATTAAAAATCTAAATCACACCCACCCACCCACATACACACACAACTTACAAACAAGACAAGAAAGGTGAGAGTGGAAAGGTAGGTCTCAATATCAATATAGATATAAATAATAGTGAAGTTATATATATATATATATATATATATATATATATATATATATATATATATATATATATATATATATATATATATATATATATATATATATATATGCTGCTAATGAATGGGGTAATCTGGATAATACCAGAAGCTTCTATCTCTATGGAGAACCATGTGCCAGCTTGAAATGTTATATAGGTCAGAGGAATAAGATCTATTAATGATAATATCCATCGGCTGGGGAATGAAAAGTACGGATTTATGTAAAGATTGTATAAACAACACACACACACACATAAACACAAAACCACGCGCGGACACTCACATAGGCAGAACACTTTAACACATATCCGCTTGAGTTCGTAAATTTAGGGGCTAAGATCATTAAGATACCGACCATTTGATTATTTCTGTTCATGGATGAGATGTTTTTGATAAATTTACCCTCCAGATACCCTCAATAGCAAAATATTTATTCTCTAATTTGTAGAAAAGAAAAGAAAAAAATCATATCGTTATATGAGTTATTTGCAGTAGAATAATTATTTATCGTGCTTTGAAACCCTCCCCAAAAAAGAATATGTCTCTAAATGATGGCTACACGTCTTCGCAAAAGGTTTTGACATATTAAAAATCTTTCTAGAGGCTGTTGCCACTAATATATGTTTATATTTAAAAGGTTGTGAAGTCCTTTCCAATATTGTTTAATGTAATTTTCTCCCACATCGAAGCAACGAAAAAAAACCAACATAATATAAATTTAGGTCTAAGTGATATATGGACCAAAGTCACGTCTAAATTCCAATTTAGGTGTGACGTAATTTACTTAAAGAATGTTTTTCTCTCTCATCCCACCATATACTCTGGAATATTTAAAAGTCTTTTTCAAAAGTATTTTTCTTGCTACATTGTCATTAGTGTCTACATTACTGACCTGAAAGTCACATGATATCAACTGATATTCTCTTCTCTTAATCAAGAACAATTTCGGATTAAATTTAGTTCCAGGTAGAAGTTTCAATGATGATGAAATGTACATATAAAAACTTAAGATTATCAAAACAATTATAAAGTCTGGATAGTCTGCACAGTGAACTAAAACAAGCTGTAAATTTTGGATTTATCTCGGCTATGATAAAATATGCTTAACTGTGTGACTACATGATGTTTGCCAATCTGATGAGTTATTTTCCATATCCGCATTGTCTACATTACTGTAAATGCACGTCTGCCTAGTATTGTAATTTAGCATGGTATTAAATCTGTAATAGTGCGTTTCTTTGATTTTGCTTTCTTACTATAAGTCTCCGCTTGCTTGAAACAATCGTATCTTGTAATAAAGAGAACAGACCATCCTGGTCGAAGGACAATCCTAACACTAGCATCACCCCTATCAAACACCTCCGAAAAATTAAGCGTTCACTCAATTACAGTAATATATATGTTACATCAGACTCTAGATGCCCAAAGAATGAGTTTATTCAACATCTTAAACACCTGCCCTTGTTTTTATTGTGTACCACTATCACCGATTAATATCAGTGCATGTGGTTTACATTAAATATAATTTCAACGCTTTCCGTTTTTTATGTTTTGTTTGCATTTTATATGGAATTTAAGTGTTCATGTCTGGGTTATCGATCTTATGTAAGAACAGCATGTATGATGTTGAACGGAGGCTGAAAGGTGTGCCTTTCATCAAGTTGGTAAGATAGTTTGTTCATATTTCGTTAAATAATTTAAAATGAAATTCAAACGTTTAAGAGCAGTCCATGCTCTACTTTTGGCAAATCATGGTCTATCTTTCTTTGGATACATTGTTTGAACCGAGTTGGGAATGAACATAGCTCTAGACATCGGACATAACTGCAGATAAATATATTGTATAAAAGCTGATGAATATACACACATATGTATTATATATGCAAGAATCTTTAAAAATATTTTTTTTCTCCCCAAGTTTCAGTAAGTACTGATGAGAATTCCTTCACCTGCTGATTCATTGCCCGTTGGAATTTGTAGGTATTTCTCCTCCAGCAAAGACGTTCGTTGTAGGGCAAGCGTGGAAGGGGATTAACTGCTCCACTGCATCGTGGGGAGAAAGGTCAAATTATGCCAGCTGTATTTACTTTCAGGCGTATTAAGAATGGGTGAGTGTATTATTTAGTATCCGTGGAACTGCTGTTGATCTTTGCATCACTATCTATCTGTGATTATCAGATCTAATGGAATGAGGTCGAGCTTTCGTCATTCGTACCTAGTTATAAGGCCAATAGAGATTATGAAAAGGTCCTACGTCTGCCTATTGTGTGCTCGTCTGTCAAATAATACTTGTTATCACTAAATTCTTCAGGCTTTGATCAAACATACAGTGTGGGTTATATAATGTCACGCATATTTAATTTGTATGATGTGATAGCCCCTTTAATATGATTGAAGGACCTGTTTTGTTTTCTTATCCATTGTCATATCTGAAAGTTATTTGTACCGTATTTACTAAAACATAAGTTCAAAACTAGACGTTGTTTACTAGTTAGTGATGTATTTCGGATAATATGTTACGCCATAGGTCAAATGAAAGTCAGTATATAAAGAATGTGGTAAGCAAATAAGACTTTAAGGCAGTTTAGTTGGAAGTTCAGTCTGTGGAATGATTTACTTTTGTGTTCAAATGTAATTTGAGAGTAACCATTCATTTAAATTCTAAAATTGAATTTTAAGTCGATATTGACATTGGCAATAATATGTCGGACTAAAACAATTCTTTTGTATTATTTTGAATTCATTCAAAGATATTTTAGATTATATAATAGTGATCTATCAATAATTTTGATAGATAGCACATTTAAGGATTTTGAAATTCATTCAGAACGTTCTACATGTTTGGACATGTGATAGCACAAGTAGAATTATTAGGGATTTAATTCTCAATGCAGCAAATGTTTTGTTTTGAAATTTCATTTTGTATTCTAGGGAAATAAATTGTTTTCGTCAAATTTTAGAAAACATGTTGGTGTCGCTTGTTATGGTTACTGAATTTACGACTACTGATTTACAACATAAATTTGGGGCATCCCAATATCTGAATTTCTTTGAAACAACCTGAGATATTCGTTTGTTTTAAACGTGTATTAGCTAACTTGCGTCATGTAAGTCTCAATATGTTCTTTTGTAAAACAAATGCGGTCCTTTTGAGAAAATGGAGACCACCTGAAACACCCATTGGTCAGTAGTGATCATTGAGCTATCAAATTTTGGTTTTAAAACCTGCATAAAGGACATTCATAAACTAGCCAATGAAACTTCTTTGGCTGGAAGTTTAAAAGTGATATTGCTAAAAACGGTTAATATTTCCACACTTGTGACATGGTCGGAAAAATGAGTCAGTAAGATACCTAGGTCTAACTTGCAACCTAGATTTGTATTTGACGAACCATTAGCAGAATAATGGTCATTCACCTATGGCAAAGTCAGAAAATCAATGATTGTTGACCATAATGTGTTTATCCACAAGATTTCCAGAGGCAATTCATTTACGAATTGGTAAACTAAAACCATAATAAAATTTTTGCTAAAGTTTTCTTACGCTTCTAAGCTTCTCGAATCTCTCTAGACTACAAGATCGAAATTTTGTTTTTAAAATGTTCAAACAAATGAAGCATGAATTAGGCATCGTAGAGTTTAAATCTTCTGCCAATCACCGCGAATATATAAGGACTCTGGAAAGAGTATATCAAACCGTGAAGAATATTATTAGGTTATACAGCACAGGCAAACTCAAGCATTGGGATGATGACATTCATTTGTTGTATTTGTTGTAATCGTTTTTGTTCAAGAATGTTAGGGGTTTAGTCTTTTTGACGTAGATTTTGGTGATAATACCAAATAGAAGTTTTAAATAGAACTATGAATTGAAATATAAGTTTTCAGAAGTACTACGAATTCAAATAGAAGTTTTAAGTAGTATTATGAATTCAAATAAAACTTTTCAATATTACTATGAATTAAAATAGAAGTTTTCAATAGTACTATGAATTCAAAAAGAAGTTGTTAAAGACTTGTGAAGTAGGAAGAACTAATACTCACTTTACTGATTCAAAATAAAATTGATGTGACAGAAAAAAGGAAGGCAGTTTTCTGCCTTATAACTTCCCTTGCCGCCATCTTAAAATCTTGGAGTAAATTTCATGGTCCTTCTTCATTTGAAAAGAACGACGATGTCTTAAACACGACAGTAAAACTATTGGGAGTCAGGAGTAAAAACAACTTTGTGATGTGTTAAAGGATCATTGCAGTTTGTTTGACTATAATGTCTTTAGTTGAACCAATCTTCAAAATAAAGAAACATTTAATAATCTAGTCCACAATCTTTCACGTGCACAACCTCACGAAAAGAGAAATTATGCGAGTATGAGAACTTATCTTCTGATGTTCAACACATGTGAATCAGCATCCATACAGGATGAATTCTCTCTCAGGTAGGAATACTTTTAAAATAAATCATGGATGATTGGATAATGGTTTGATAGAACAATGGGAAAGTGACTGGAGTTAACCATGTATTATTGTGCTTATACCATATAAAACATTAATTACCAACGAAAGAAATGTCAACAGTGTCATGAAAACAGATTCATTCTCAATGCCAAAAATAGATTACTGCATTGGCTAAATTGGAAATGC